AACATCAGATCCTCAAAAATGAAAGCTTAACATTTGGCTGTCTAAAAAATATTTTTCTGTTCCTGACAAGAGTAATGAAAGGATGTTTCCCTGACAGCTGCAGTGTAATAACTCTAAAGAAAAACAGTATTAATAGCAGTAATAAGCAGGGAATATAATACAGATGAACTCAAAATTAGCCTTTACATTGAAAATCCACCACAAGGTCCATGTGGATCTTTGGTACAGTCTGAATGAAGACAGACGTTGTCAGTGAGCTGCTGGAGGGCTTCAGCTTTCAGCTAAAATCAAGCTTCGCTAATGACTTTCAAAGCTGATCTGACATTGAGTCCGCTGGCTCTCAGCTGTCCAAACCAGGGTCCCTGTCCAGTGGAGCAAACACTCTGCAGCCCCCTGTCTAACATTTTGTTATTTGTCTGAGATGACTGCGGCATTCTCAATTCATTTACTATTTCAAAAACCCCTTGCTCTTATTTGGAAAGATCAGTCACTGCTAATCAGATAGCCTTCCTTATTTTTTTCCTACTCATCCTCCAGATAATCTCACACCAGCTGCAAGATTATCTGCAGGATAAGGATTAACAGGAGAGGTGGCTGATTATATTGCTCAGTTATTTGCCACAGAGTACTTTGATGAATATATGTCAAAGTATACATTTTCTTTGAAGAAGAACTGTGTCCTGTAAATTTACTTCACCTTTATGGAGTTTGCATGTTGTCACTGTGCCTGTGTGGGTGTCCTCCACGTACCTCCCGCCTCCTCCCACAGTCCAAGGTTAGGTTAATTAGTGATGCTAAAATACCTAAATTCAGCATACGTATGCTGTCTTTGGAAATTCCACTCAAGTTGAAAATTTCAGCAGATTTCTTTTGTTTATGTTTAACACGGGAACTAAGATTACTGTCTTATGTACGAAGATGGCAAAAGGAGTTAAGAGAGGGAGAAGTCGAGCTGCTGATAGAGTTTCCAAAACATAATGTAGTTAATAGAATTTATATTGTAATATTTTATCCCAGAGTACTGCGACAGGAAGCGGCACTATTTGCTCAAATGGAGCTCCTTGTGTGATTGCAGCAGGAGTTTGGCTGACGTGTGATCGAGCAGCACAGACACGTCGCAGGGTTCAAAGGTTCAGTGTGAATTCAGGACGACTCTGTAAAATCCACATTTCTTGCAGTGAGACTCCACCACCAAAGCCCAGGGCGTTTTGTTGCGCCGCAGCAGCCGAAGAATTAGCAACGCTTCACTGAAATGTTTGTCTGTCTAGACCTCAATTTGTGGATGCACCGCTCTGCTTTCCAGCACAGACACCAACACAACAAAAACAACAACACAACAGAGGCGTGCCGAGAGCAGGGGGCGGTGCGTGCTCAACGACACAGGCACCTGCTCTCCTCTTACACATTTCACACTCAGCTGATGGTCACGTCCACAGTGGTGTGTCAGAGAGATGAGCTGTCCAATCAGCTTCTGCTCTCCACAAGCTGCAGGATCCCAGTGACTGAAACATAAACAACAATATAGCTGAGATTCTAGTGGAGCAAGTGATCATGTAGCTGGATGCATGAATGATCAATATGTTATTATTCTTTGCTAAAGATGAGGGGTTCTGTCTTTGTTATGATCCCTTTTTATTTTTGCATCGTATCTCTTCCTGTCATGTGAGTGTTTACCTCCTACTTCAGCTGCTCTGGTTGTCTTTTAGTTGGTTTAGTTAGCTTGTTTTTTCTGCCACTGCAGCCATAAGCTTGCAAAAAATACTACATAACATTAACAACTGTCAGTGCTTTGCTGTTGGGTCCACTCAGGACTTTCCCCTCTGAACTGTGTCAGGGTGATTAGTTATGTAAATAAAAAGTATTGTTCGGGGTGCTGGTATAGCTCACTGGTTACTCACTGTATGCTGGGAGGCTACAATGTAAAGTATGAGGTGTGTTCTGTGCACCGTTATGCACTGGTTTCACTGGTCCAGCCCACTTATGATCTAAGACGAGTCGATACCCCAGTTTTAAACGTTTGTTATCATGAAGACGACAGTTGTAAAGTGTCATAAAAAAGAGTCATTTTTTGATTAAGATATTAAATCAATGCAACAAGAAGACCACCTGATTAGATGTGAACAGGTTTCCATGACAACAGATGAAACAGTGATTAGCTGGGAGCTTGGATGGATGTGGGTTTTAAAGTGGCTTGCAGATGCACAAACGTGGGGACTGCTAGGATAACATGTACATTATTTTCCATG